ACACTTGCGAGAATTATGCCCGGTCCTGTTGCAATTTGAGCATCTGTGTTGGGATGTTTTCTTAATTTCCTTCTTGACCTGTCTAGATATAGCCTTATTTATCGACAATTTACTCATATGCTTAGCCAGTTCTTCATCTGAGTCGACTTCAACATTTTTCGATGCGTCTCCGTTTTTCTTAGGTAAGAAGGAAGAAAATTTATCAACTACTCCTTTAGTAATCGTATCTATTAATGATTGTAAAGTAGATGGACCTGCTAAAGCACTAAGACGGTCTGTTGCTTCATCCATTCGAAGCCATTCTTGGTCATTCAAGCGCAGACCTGGACCCCAATATATTTCACCTGGTTTCATTTGACTGGGTCGTAATAATTGTCCTTCTCGTCTTTGGGAAGTTGATTGTGTAGAAACGGGCGGAGATTGTGATGAAGCTATAATAGATTTTACAAAACTTTCCGTTTCATCTTTACTCATACCCGTATTGCTTGAATAAATATTCTTTCCGTGACCTTTACTGGATGATACTAAATCTGAGTTTGAATGCAGGTAAGCTCCAGATAATTGTTCCGCTGTATATCTTTCAATTTCTTCAAGTTTCGGAAGTAACTCGTCTGGAGATTTTTCGATTCCTAAACGACGAACTTCCATCTGGTTGGCGGGTGAAAGTCCACGAAGAAATTGTAATCGAATTTGTTGTTCATCAATACCAGCAAGCCTAGCTAATCTACGTAAATTAGAATAGAAACGGCCAACGGGATCACTTCCTTGAACTGTTGAACCAAAAAGTACTCGTTGTTTCTCTGCAGTAACTGTAGGATAATTAGTTCTAAACCAGTATAATACTTGTCCGAGTCGAATACCAGGTACAACTACAGTATTACCTGTATTAGCATTGGGTGCGTTGGGTAAGCGATCGGTTGGTCGTCCATCAGCAAAAGACCAATCTTCATCAAATACTGTATGAGCTGGAATTACAACATTACCATTCTGCCCATTTGCACGATTTAAGGCCTGTGCTCCAATTTGACCGGCATTTCTTCCTTGAACACCAGCTAAATTTGCTTGCGTTGTATTATCGAGTAAATTTCTCAATTCCCAATTTTTTCCGTGAATGGTTCTTTCATACCAATCTTTAGCGTCACCTTTGAGAGATGCTATAAAAACACCATGAGCATTAATTCTATTAGCATGTCCAGCCCCTACATCTATTCCAGAACCTACAAGCCATAATCTAAGTTCTTCAATATGTTCTTCGGGATCTTCAGTAGGATATCCGTGAAATTTTTTTAATTCGTAACCCACCATACCTGTTCGATTGTTATTATGATTCTGCGGTATATTATTCTGTAGTAATAAAATTTGGGCTTGTAAATTTAAAATTAATTGCCGTGAATTGCGCTCTCTATTTTTCCACTTAATATGACTTGCCTTCCGATCCTTGAATTTATTGTAGTATCTATCAAAGAGCCGATCACGATTATATTCTAATAATCCTTTATCACCCTGACATTGTTGTAGCTTCCATTCTAAGCGATAAATAGATATCTTATAAATAATTTCGAGAGAACGCCTAAGTTTCGATTGTTCTTCTAATGCTAAGGTAATATTATGCCACAAACCCCCTCGCAAATTATATCTTTGTTGTAATTCTATACCATGTCTTTGGCACCACCGAAGTTTAAAATTAAGCGCAAATTTGTCAAGTAATAGAGCATTGGTACGTGTTTGCATTCCATTTTCTATTTTTTGCGCAATTCTCCTCCAGCGATAACATTCTCCCTGTTCATTATTAAGATCCCGGGTAAGTTGGTTAACATGGTTTTGTAAGGTATCACGTTCTTGCGTAAGCCGATGATTACGATTTTGCAAAGTAATACCATCTTGAGTAAGCTGGTTAACTTGATTTTGTAAAGTGATATTTTGTTGTCTAAAATAATTGACATCCTGCTGTAACTGGACTATCTGATTATTGCTGTCATCTCGTTGAGCGATAACACCGTCTATATCCTGGTATGCAGACTGATAATTATGCCGAACAGTATTTAAGGAACCTCTAATGCCATTTATAATATTTATAGGACTATTTAACGGTGTTCCAGCACCTTTAAGGTGATTTTCAATACGAGTCAAGCCTCGTTCGATTTGTATAAAAAGGTCAAGATTCGCCATATCTATATCTTCCTCTTCTGAATTATATAAACTTGGAGAGCTTCTTCGAGAAGAAATATCTTTGAATCTATGCCGTAATTTTTGAACCCGCTCTTCCGATTCTTGTAATTGCTTCTCTATACTATCGATATAGGATACCTTATCTCGGATATCCTTTTTAGCTTGATATAAGTTTCTTTTAAGGGACGATATCTCCGATCTCAACTCTGCTTTTTCTTCCTCTGAAGCATTCTCGAGACGTTCCAGTTCTTCTTTAAGAGATTGGATTTCATTCTCACATCTGGTATATTTACGTTCCAGAACCTTTATAAATTTTTCATTCGACTTATTGATTGAAACTTCGTTAGATAACTCATCCCTCAAAGCTTGATTTACCTGCTCCAATTCCAATTCCCGATCAGAGCTTGGCCCACGAGATAATCGATTGCGGTGTGGTTGACGAAATGCCATAGCTATTTTTTACGGCATAATATATTGATACAAAGTAAAGGCATAGCCAAAATGAGTATACCTACTATATATATAGATCCATATGCTGAGGTAGCTATAGTTTGTCGTGCACTCTATTA